TTATAAAAAAGTATTTTATAGAGTGAATTGTACATTAAAAATATAGTTTATTTTATGAATTTATTAAAATATTATTAATAAAATTATTTTTATATTATTTCATTAATAATATTTTAATTAATTTATAAGATGTACTATATTTTTAATATACAATTGAAACTATAATACATGAATCATTTTTTTGTTATTAGTATTAAAATTAATCTTAAATCAATTTTTAGTTTTTAATTTTTAATTTTAATTTTCAAATTTCAATAACCGTAAAATTTATAAAAACTAAAACTAAAAATTTAAACCCATAACATACTGAACAGAGCCTCAATTTATCATTTTTTTAATAAAATCTCGTTATCATTTTTTAATATAAATATATCCCATGACAAAAATCCTAAGCACTAAGTTGACCCAAAAAAAAAAATGAAAAAATTTAGAAAATACCACATGCTACAAGTTTAAGTACCCACTTGACAGTCCCTTGCCATATTAGCACTTAGGTGTAAGGGGAATGCGGTCGAAAGCTAAAAAAAACATACGGCCATTTAACAAAGTGACAATACGTTATTCTCGTCGTCAGCAGGCTAATTTCTCAAGATGGAGAGTTCAAAGGCTTGCTTATCACTTTTATTTTTTTTTAGAGCTTATCTGAGAAAATAGGAAAAGTACAAGGGCTTAACACTGGGTTTCGCTCTTTTTAATTTTTTATAGAAAAATAGTGTAACACCTTCGGGTGTATGCATGTAAGGGTGGCGTCATGGTGATCATATACTGATCATATAAAACGTTGAGGGTACTTACTTTTTTTTTTTTTTAAGTAGTTTCAAAAAATATTAGTTTATTAAATAATTTTAATTTATTAACTAATAAATATATAATTATTTTATTAATTATTAATTATTATTAACCAAATTTAAAAAATTAATATTTTGAAAAATAATATTTTATAATTTTTAATAACTTTAAGTTATGAGTAATGACCATAAATATAATTCATTCTTCAAGTTTAAAACATAAATTTTATAACGAACATTTAAAAAATTAACTCTTTAAAATATAATAACTGTTATATATAGAATATATTTTTAAAATCAATAGAGATGGTCTCAAAATATATAAAGCACAAAGACACCATAAGAGTAAATAAAAAAAGTAAAAACACCCTGAATGTAACGTTGGCATTTACAATTATCATATATTCATATGCATTGACAGTCAAATCTGTCACAACTTTTTGGGCCCAAAGAAAACAGCAGCCACTGCTTTTCCTTGACCTTTTCTTCCATGACTTTTCTCCTCACCCGCCAACTGCTCCCTAAACCGCGTTTACTGTTTAATCAGGTTGTCTATCTTGTAACCCGGGAGGTTACACAAGTCAATTTTCCAATGAAAATATCTCAAGACAAGTTTTCATTTGCCCTCTCTCTTTCTCCCTCTCGGCGAAAGTCTCTGCTGCATGATTTCTTTTTTGAAACAGAGGCCGTGTGTAATGTCGTAAGATACTGTGTCGGAAGAGTATAGCAGTGAGTGGTGTATAATTATAAAAATTTATTATTATTAATATCATCTAAATTTAAAATTTTAAAAATCATATACCTTTTGATTTGAAAATTTATTCAGACAGTAACATAACTTGGCCTAAATTGTTTCCATTGATATATAAACAGTTCCTTATTTGTAGGCCGCCTAAGTTGACCAGAAATAGCAAAAATATAAATGAGCTTAAGTTGATTGGAAATAGCAAAAGTAATATGATTATAATATTAT